GCCTAATGGTTGCTTCTGGCCTGTGCGCAACTCCAACTCCAAGTGGGGTGAGAAGTGACGGAATCCGAAACGTCAGGACAATAAACCTCTTGTTCCAGTGATCGTTTCTTCTTCTTCCGAACTGCTTCCTGGAACTCGGATATTCTCCTCTATTAGCATTAATATTATACATGAAGGCACATGCCCTCTGCTTGATATCTCGAAAGAGCTAGGTTCTCAGGACATAACTAATCGACAAGGCACAACTCTCAAATGTTAAGAAGGAACTCAGGTCACATTCTTTCCCGACAGTCTTAATTGTAGAGTGATGCACTCTCATTCAGCGATGCTGCTATAGCGATTTCATGGTCGAGCTCCAATTTCCTAGCCAAACATACGAAATACTAAATTAAGTCTAAAAAATTCCCGATATGATCGATTTTGTACATGTTAAAATGTTAGTGACATGTGAGTCTTTATTTTGCCAGTCTGTGGGCACTGAAAAATACGAACCTTATCATTGTAAACTTTTCAAAACTCGTTAATCGCAAATAATATCAATCAATATTTTTTGCAAATTTTACAGAAGGCAGCATTTTGTGCATTAACCCAGCTCTACTAACGTCAAACAAGCGACTTAAAGTACAAAGGTGATAACTGACAGACGACATCCAAAAAAGGATATGCAAAGGCGGCTGAGCTGAAGGAAACGTCTCAAAGTCAAAAATAGCAGTAAACGAGACCGCCTTGAGAAAATTAATGCTGGGGAATGGCTTTAACTTTTATCTATTGAAAGATAAACATTGAGGCCCAGAAAGCCATTTACTAAAGGATCCATTTAGACCTATTTTATGGAGGGAACACCGACTAGGAGTGGAAGAAATCGGACGTTTCCGGATATCTAAGGAATTTCCATAGAGCACCATACAGAAAAACCTGTTATTTATGTGGATTATGCTCTAACATAACATTCATATACGTTAGAAAAGTCTCAAATAAATCCCCTCTGAAACTGAAACATTTGATCTAGCCTCAACGAAAATCAGACGAAAGCAGGTATGAGAAATCGCATTGTTTTAACGGATCTAGGAGTTTAGTCAGTCTAAAAAATGTTTTGAAAATGAAAAACGTTTTCTGTTACAAAACGCAATAACAAACTTGTTTGACAGTATTTCGTTTTACATCACTGAAAATAAGGTACAAATGCATATACCGGGGTGCCTGCAACGACTTTTCTGTGTTACGCCGTGCGATTATGGTTAAGCGTATAAAAAAAGGAAAGAAAAGAAAACGTGTTTATTTGCTCAAGAGCAAAGTGATAAAAGGATTTCATTTTGGAAGAGCATTAAAATTTATGATTAGGTATTATTCTTAGACAAATTTTTGAAGTCGGCTCAGGTGAGCATATATGGAAAGAATTTGCTCCGAAAACACTCTGTCGACAGAAACTTCCAAGAACTGTCGACATCTGGTTTAAAAAAACAAAAGGCACTAGTATATTGTGCTTGTTACCAATTTGTTTCTTTATTTGATTTTTTTCGGTCAAATAAATTGTATCCCAGATTATTATTATTATTCTCGAACCTTTTAAGAAGAACGATCGTTTCTCTAAGGCAGTTCAACGTTCGTGGACGCCGAGTGAGCGGCTTATATGCTGCAGAGGTTTTTGCGTAGAGTTCGTTACATTTCTTCTGTTATGTCTGATTGCATTCTAAACGCCACCCGAATTGAAGTCCTAATTTCTCAATTGGCGGTCGACCTATTTTAACGAGCAAAAATCCAATTAGACACAAATAGAGGAGGCAAGGAAATATGGTACACAAATACATATAGAAGACGAGGAATTTTATTGTGTCTTAGTGTCATCAACATGACTACTATCAATCCAACCATCGAGTGTAGGCAGGGGAGGAAGTCGTGCATTTGTTGCCAGAAGAATCGAAAGGCTCCGTCCCGCAAATAGTTTAGCTGTTTCAGAAATCTACAAAACATAAGAAAAAAGGCGGGCGAGTAAGACAAATAGGACGCAAACGCGAGGACTAAACTATAAACACAATAATTGGTGTGCGAAAGTTGTCTTGATGACCGTCATTAAATCCCCCATGCCTCTCGTAAGAAGATTCGCTCGGAAGTTCAGCTTAACACTGTAGGTAGGCATTGTGGAAATAGGATCCCATTCCAAAGGAGGAATGATCAGCCGACTTCAGTGCCGTTGAGCGGGATAAATCAACTGAAAGCTGGAAATGTGGACGCACAGGCTATAGTTGGGCGTGTTCTTAGGTTAGACCTGAAGTCAGAGGCGATAACTCATGCGGAGGAAATGACACATACCTCCACCTTTGAAGCAGTCAAGGCTGTGGCCAAAGTGATAATCAGAATTTAAAGTGGGGGAAGATGTCTGTATTTGAAGCGACAACTCATTAAACAACAGCAAACCTCGTTCGGTGCCCTAGCTTAAGGGGATGTTCTGCACCTACAATTGACATTTAGGATGTGTATGCGATCCGTGAGCTACGATATATGCACATGATTCTATAGTCTCTGGAGACTGGTAGGCGAAATTGCTATATAAAACACCATAAAACAAACAGTCAGACAGCAATGGGTGAAAGTCAACTCATTGTCTTCTCGTAGCAGGGTTACGATTGACAAAATAAGCTCTAAATGACAGTATTAACCAACCCAATTTTATATCGATACATCTACCAATATCTCCTTCCATCTGAACGCCAATTCTTAATATTATAAACTGCGTTACTTCATAAAGCTGGACAATAACCTACCTCTTTACCCATGAGGATTTGGTTTTTGAGGTCTGGTAAAAAGTCTGGCGTGCAGCCACCAAGTTGACGGATTCGTTTCGCTAGGGTGACTACTTCCGGATGATAATGCTGCTCCAAGCATGCAATCTCCCACAAACTGCTTTTCAAAGCTCCAGTCATGTTGAAATCATCAGCTTTCCAGTCAAAAGGGTCACCCGTGAGTGGCTAAATAAAAGTAAGTAAAGTAAGTGTAATTATAAAGGTGATTAATTGGTGTATATCACAGGAAAAGAGATCAATACGAAGGGCTTTATGACAAACACTGAGTTCAGAGCTTTACGGCTAATATTAGAGAGCACAACAATAAGCTGTAGTGACACAGGGCATCCGACACAAACATGTTAGTGACGGATGCCGACGAGCTCTCAGGCATGAGGGATTCCGTTCGTCACAGCGCTCGGCTTATGTTCATAACCCCGTTCTTATTGACCCCTCTTAAAAGGCTTGCCAAACACGTTTTCGAGATAAGGCGCAGCATAAGGTATCACATATTACTCTTGCTACAAGTAAATCAGGATTGTTTCATCATCTAATGACAAGCATGCAGTTCAGCCGTTGTCCATGGATTTACAGTTACGTGGTCATTTTGCAGTCGGGAGTGCAAAAATCATGTTGTTATATGCAAAACATGACCGACGCAGATTTTTAGCAAGGAAAGTCAGTTGCTATTGTACTTGCCTATTCCGGAAAGGCCAAACAGGCAGCATGGTCTGTACCTGTACACGCAATGCTGTCACCGAAAAGAATCAGTGCGTCGGTCTTCGTCGAACACATGAAAGGGAAGATCCTTATAGAATTTGTCTCTCACTACGCTGACTTGAAAAACAGCAGCAGCCGCTGAAACTGGTGGAGGATCTCACCGTTAAGCTATTCAACGCATGCATGGGTCGAGCGAGCGAGACCGGTGGTTTATAATCAATCGATAACATTGTCGGCAGAATTATTTAGTTCATGTATGGTGCATAGGCTCATACTATCCTTCATTCCTGATACAAACGATACGAGAACTACCTCTCTGTCGATCTAGCTGCCCGGGAAGATGCATGGAAGGTGCAATTTCTGTTTTTTTGGCCCTGCTGAAGACGTACGCTACACAGACTCTCTTTGGTACTGACAGCGATGTCGATGACCTGAGATTGTTCCCGATGTCAGTAACCTTTCTAGATTCTGTCTAATCAATCGCCAGTACCATGATAACCACCAGAGAGGTCATGGTAACGTACGCATACGGATTTCACTGGCCCACTCTACGGAGTCCCATAGCAATTCGTGGTCGAGGCCTGTTCAAAGTGACTCGAGATTACTTTGCTGAATCTGGCGATCGCATACGCTATTATCGCCTCCTTACGACGCATCTTCAGCCAATATGGCCGGCCGAAATTCCTGGTTTCGGGGAATGGCTTCCAGTTTTCTTACTCAACGTATGGACCAGATAGTCTAGGCATTCCTATTTTCTTACAGGACTAACCCGAGTGTGACGTTTTCCTGCCGGGACTTCGATGGTCTGAAAAATTTTTCTTGCATTCGTGCCTACCGGTGTGTAGTCTACACAACCAGCTTCATTAGTATCTCTTAGTAAGGTTCCTGTCAGAGCATGTCTTCGCAAAAACGGAACTGACAGTCAAGATTGCACTGAGGCGATAGCAGCAGCGCACCCAGGCGGCATGTTGTTAGACGTCCGCGACGATGATCATATCTCGGTGCTTTAGCACAACCAAACCCGACGGCGGTATTGCAGCAACACAACCGGACCGAATCGGTACTATCATTCCTTCTCAACATCTTACTGGGCGCCTTTGCTATTCCAATGGATCAGCCGGTTTCGAACTCATTGCTACCGCGCCTTCAGACGTACCGTTTTCGGCATCAGTTGCTAGCTACGCGTCTGCAGACCGCAAACTGCTCCTATGACGCCAGCCAAGTTGTAAGCGCCGACCAACGCAGCAGGTTAATCCACGCCAGAAGCGATACAGACCCATTTGAGGGGTAGGTATTGGGAATTTTCGCATTCCCAAGAAGGGCTAATCCTCCAGAAAAGGATGTGCGCGTGTCTCCCGCGCTGCATGCCATGAATGCGATATCGACAGTGTCCCGCATCGGCTGCGACTACACTGCTCCTACAGGATCTGACTGGTTCATGCTTGCGAGAAGTTGCTTGGCTCTTCCAGAACTATCTTATTGGAGCGGACTGAACAAAATATTAGTCAAACTGAAAGGGATGCTATAAATGAAAGCAGTTTTTTTTAGTAACAATGACTTGTAAGTTTTAATACATCCTTTCGTGACCGAGCAAGCTGTCAGATAAGCACACAGTTCATGTGAATGCTGATTAGCTGGCTGGCTTCTAATCCTAGTTACTCCATTGTCGAAGAGGGGTACTGATGTTCATGCTGAATTTCTTATCAAAGAATGGAAGCCTCATCCTGATTCCATGGGGGAGATAACACGATAGGACACGAAAATAGGAATCCCCATAAAAAAGATGTCAGGAAGCTCGCTGAATTTTAGCCCGAGGCCACACGAATTATAATGGGAGGACGGGGGGGGGTTGGACGGGTTTCCTGTGAACCTACTACCTGCGAACGCAACTACAACATCCCGTCTTTCTTTAAACGGTTGATGTAGATTTCTTTTTATCCCCCTTTATCGAGGA